TTATGAGCAATTTTCATTTAACGATCGTGTTCATTTGCGAACACGGTGATCGTGGATACGAATTTGTTTCACCGAAACGATCAAACTCACTTATGTTTCTTTCCTTCGGTACTCCATTCTTCTTGCGAGTAACGATTATCCGTTATTTCTAAGGCTATCAGGAATAAATGTTCGTGATATATTCTTAGAATAAGAGTTTCACGAAGCGAAACAAGTAGAATCGAACGTTCCATTATACTTGAGTAGCGAATGAAAGAAAGATTGTTTGCGATCGTTGTATATCTCTGCGATAGGATAAGTAAAAGGAGATTTGCATGGGATGGAATTCCATCTATGAGAGTATTTAAGGTATTTTTAACTCTTCAAAGACGGGAATTGTAAAATAGAAAAGCAATCATAAAATTGAAAAGAAACGTTTCTTACTATGAAGATAATGGTTGTTCGCGTTTATACAGCGTGCCGAGACCACAATGAATTTAATTAGACAAACTCTCGGAGCATCCTTTTTCTCGTTCGTGATCTCATTCATCGTAACAAGAGTGCCACCACTAGGTAAGAAAATTCCCAGTTATCGACCTCGTACAATCTCCGACCGAGTTTTGCCGACTTAAAACAGCCACCTGGTAAATTCCCGTGTAGAAAGCTGTCTTGCCGACTAGAGAAAAGCACAGGTCGATAAGAAAAGCAGCATACTGCCGGAGCTATTCTGAGAGCTCTGTCTGAGAATACGCAGCGCTGGAGAATCGAGAACGTGCCTAACGTGGCTAACTTTAGCATGGATTTTCGTGCCGATGCTAGACGCTAATAGGAGCATAGAATCGCGATCAGCAACCCGTTCTCGCTAATGTCACTATTTCTGGACGACAACTTTTTCTGTTCTAGTCAAAACTTCGTAACAACTATCCTAACGGTAAATTTCGTTCCACTGACAAACAACGTTATTCAACGAGGATGGAATCGTGCAGATTTTTTAACGTATATTGTAAGACTATGCCAAGAGATTTTCGAAATAGACGTCGGATATTTATGCAAACTCGTGTTATAAATGCACAAAGTTGGAAAAGTTGCTCTTTCTCTGTTACTTTGGAAAAAGAATTATCAACGTCTTCGACGAATGTTTGATTCTCTCCTTAGTTACGCCAGACTGATTAGGTTTAATGATGACAAACGAAAGAGGATCGGTAAAGTTAAGTTATAATAAGAAAAGGAAATGAAAGTTACGACAGCGTTGCAATATCGTTCTGCTACTTGAATCAATTGGGTAGCGGTATTAAAATGGTTTTTCCAGTTGATCGTACAAACGGATGGAAAACGAGAGTCCGTTAGGAAGGCAATTCAGTAAAATTTTCCTGGCGCAACTGTATCCGATCATCTGGATTAGCCTTTAATATTGGCCTCGGTGCTTGGCCTGCAGCCAGATTGAATATAATTGATATCGATTCACGGCTGACGTCGTGCATGCCGTTGCATCGTTTTAACTTTAATCGCAATGAACGGGTTAACTTATAATTTCTAATCAGCGTTAAACTAGTTTCGTCGCTCTTCGTCTTCTATACTTTAGAAACGAATACGACTGTTTCCAAATCCGCTGGCAACTCTGATATCCATCATATACATATTATACAATTCCTCGATGGTAAACGTCCAAATATTTTCACGAGCCATTAAATACGAAAGGCGTCATTGACAATCACGATGATATAGAAAGTACGATTCAACGAAATAGATTTCGCGAGAATGTTCCAAAAATTGTACAACGTAGAAAATATTAATTATTCAATTATTTTTATTTATTATTAATTCAATTATTTTCGATGTGAATTCGTCATCTAAATTTATCGAATCGTGTTAACGCGTTAATAAATAAGTTATAGATCACGAGGCGACGAATATGCGTTTCCACACACATACATACACGGACGCTCGCGCGCAGATATATCGAATTCCTTCTAAATCGGGAACGATATAATTAAAGACGCGGAAAAATAACAATAACCAGACTGATGGTCCACTTTCACCGTTGCCTATTGATTTTCGATGCGGGTCGTGACGGGAAATTGAATAGGAATTTCCATCGATCTACAGCGAAACGACAAAATGCATATTAATGCTGGCGTTAAACAGAAGGCTTTATTAAATGGCGCTCGTTACGCCCGTCTCGTCAATCCGCAGCTACAAAACGGACAATTGCAAATTAGAAATCAAATCCGGTATTGTCGCGGGTAATCTAGAGTGAACGACATTCAACAAGGGAATTCTGGTCTACCGTTGACAACGGCTACTATCGGCCAATTTAATAACAACTGATGAACCAAAGTGAAACCATTCCTTTCCAACGTATAGGAAACGTTCCGTTGCCATCGAAACTTTACTGGATCGTTAAAATTTCACGTTTCGTTTAATATTAAAATTTTCACGTTGATGTTTCCGACACGAGGATAAAAAGATAGATACTTTGAAAAATTACGAATTCAGAGTTTACGTTAAATTTACACCGATGGATTAACACGTACGATACGATCGAAACTTTGCTACGTATATTTAAGATTCTTCGCTTTATTTCAAATCGAGATGTTCGATGCGAAAATGAAAAGAAATGTCTCTTCTAAAACGACGATTCGAAAGACGCGTTAGATTTACGTCAAGACAATGTAACAGCGACGATATCGCCAGCAGAAACGCTATACTACATTCTTCAGATCCCACACTAACTCGAAACACCGAGCTTTTAAGAATAAAGATGAAAAGGCAGATATTTTCTAAACCAACGATTCCAAAAGACACGTTATATTTACATCAAGGTCTCTTTTGTCTCTTCTCGCTCGATCGTTCACGCAACCAAGTATTCTCCCTCTACTCTCTGTCTCACGATCGAAACCAAATTTTCGTCTCTCTCTGTCTCGAGTGGCCAGTCTCGTTCAGAAGAGAAAAGCTTGTGTAGCACGCGCGAGTCCATCGACGAAACACGCACGCGTGCGTGAATTCTCAAAGACCCGGTGTGTTTCTTGCGTGGATCTCTCGTCGAAAACATACCGCCGGAAATCGAAGGTCTCCGTCTAAGTATAGCACCCGCTTCGCTAGCGTAAGTCTGGCCACTGACGTCGAAAAGTGTCAGTATACCCTGGACCAACCGATTCCAGCAACGCGCTGATCCCTGTGTGTCTCAGTATCTCGTGAAAACCGACAGTGCAACTATATAAATTTCGTTTTACCAAGTTCTCGTCTTTTCGAGGATCACGCGATTCTTCTGCACAGCAACGAAAACACTGGAAGCGTTCATGAATGGATCGATAAGAACGTCATTGGCAGTGTGTCGCGTGTGAATACAGCATTTTGTGCACGTTTTTAAACTTCCTTCGTTCCAAGGAGAAAAGTCTCCGGCAAAGTTTCTTCCACGAGCAACGAAGTTTCGTCGATAACAGTTGCCCGTTTTTTTTTTCTTCTTCTTCTTTCTTACCACCGTTCTCTTTCTTATCCCTTTATTTTCCCTGCTTTTTTCTTCCTCCTTGTTTTTCGCTCGAAGGAAAGAAACGGACTCGGATTTGTTTTATGCCGACGCTTTGAAGTTCCGTAGAAAGAGGGAGAGAGTTGAACGTATAATTCTCTGGGTACGTATGCAAACTCCACGAATATGAAATAAACCGAATTCTCTGCCCCGCTGATAGGTGTTCTCTGTCTTTGCTTGTTACAAAGAGACGCTTCCGATGCGATACGACTCGCTCCGCTAGAACGACGATAATTTTCAGAAAATTTGACGCGCGGTTTTGTTGAATGCAGATCGGAATCCAGGACGACTAACGAGACAGAGCAAATTCAATATTCCTGAGCGCAAATACTTTTCTAACGTAGGATAGCGCGCTCTCGACGTCTTCCTTACAATCGTTTCGCATCGTCATTGTTATCGCTTCGTCGCACTGCTCGCTAATTTATAGTTTACAACGCTGCTACATTTAATTAGGCATTCCTTCGCTTCGATCGACGAATATTCTCTAGAATTTCGAAGGAATCTCGTACAGTCTCGCTTGACAAATATATATATATATATATATAGTAGAGTTGAAGGAATCGTGAAAATAAATGAATAGAAATATCGCGTTTCACGCGCTGCATGCGCCGCGCCAAACAAACCAGGTATTTAAATATCAAGTAAACGAGAATTTGGATCGTGTGGGCTGTTCAAAATACGCCCACAATATTCGGTGGAAATTTCAGACAAAGGAAAAAGCTGAATCAGCGACACGATTCGACCGCACTTGGCGCGAAAATATAATAATAACGCACCACGTGCATCTGTGCGCGTCTTTTGACGCGTCATCAACGATTAATCGAAAGAACTTGCTGGACTTTGCGCTTCTTACATTCTAAAAAAGAATTTTCCTGACCTTCCGAGTATACGCTACATCTCGTACAATTCTCCTTGTTGGCGAGAACTTTTCATCCTCCAACATGCATACGTAAATCCATTCATTCTTTGTCTCGTTCTCGGAACGTTTCTATTTTCCACCGAATTTTCCCGTGAGCAAGAGCAGCTCGGTCCTTGCGCTTTGTTGCCTGCTGAACAAACACGATCGCCAAAAATACCATACACTTTGGATCTCAAGCAACCGAAGAAACAAATTTACGGAAACAACGAGGTCGAACGGAACTCGGTCGAAGAGAACTCAGTCGGACGACAGGTCTGACTATGCAGAGGACAGATCTACTGAAATAATCTCTTATTCGTGTCGGCGAGCGCAAGAAGATAATCGTGCAAAGGAGACGAACATCGTGACAAGGCTGATGTCAAAATAAACGCAGATCCACGGAAGCCGGTTAAGTCAGCAGCTAGCTTCCGGCTAGGTGTCAGGATTAACATTCTGCTTGCCGCTGGCCCCCGCCATCCAGAAAGTTGCTAATACAATAGCATCTAGCCGCCTGTTGCACCCTAGAATTCGCTTTAAGATCAACAAGTGGTTCGTCTAAGAGTAACAATGCTTTCTAATGTGGCCGCTTGTTTCCAGTGCGGTGACTTCTGCGAGAAGCTGATTGGTCGTTGGCGCGGCCTTCGACGTCGCCTCTACGTATTCCGAATGTTGCGAAAGCCAAAATGAATTTGGCTCCGATCGTCGGCTGCGTGCGTGTCTGAGAGAACTACTTTGAAATAATCCCTGATACTTCGCTGTGGCTGTACGCGCGTGTAGCCGGATTTTAAATTTAACCCACCCGCGTTTCATCGATGTCGTTCGGGAGTCGATTGGAAGACGAGCCAGAATCTACCGAGGAAATTATCGCCAGCTTTCACAGCCACGATCGCTTCGAAATAAAATTCCATATAATAACGATTCGCGTTATCATCGCTGATTACTTTTCGTCATTTTTACGACGAGAGTGTCGATAAAATACAGCTTGGATTACTTTTGTCGCAAGATTCAATAACTACGGCTACTTGAAAAGTAAAAAGATACAAACCATAGGTAAGTAGATCGTAGGTATTTATGTACATTCATATTTACATGAGAACAGGTGGAAACATGGAACCTAGGTAGGAGAGTTTATTTTGTCAAATATTATAATGAAACTACTTCATTTTGAATATTCTTTATATTTGTTAATATTCCGTATATTCTGTATATATTTCGTATCTCGATACCACGTAAATGCATGAAAATCTACAGTCTAGAAACGAATAAAGATTATTTTATATATTTACAAATGGATACGCGCTCCTAGTTAAAACTCGATTTTGTAAAACTCGGTTATCGGGAGATAACCATAGAAGAAATGATATACGAAAAACGGCGATAGATGACAACTGTTTGATCTCGACCTTTGAGTGATTCTAAACGAGGATAACGGAGAACGATATTAGAACGTCGCGACGAATGTCACGAATGAGAATAGACGGATATTAATAAGCTGATGATATTGAAAAATCTGTAGGCCAGGCGTTATTTTACTTGGCTCGAGACACGATTGCATCTGATCAACGTCGAAAGCGAATGAAAACGTGGTGGCAATCTAAAGTTTCATACGTTGTACCAATCAAAGTGGAGTACTTTCGATGATTTGGTGGCTACTTTCGAAACTGTGCCGCGATCACTGCCATAAATCGAGCGGTGAATTTTGAACCGAACCGATGAACGAGAATACGAAACGGTCGCTGCCAAGCCACTCGGCTAATTACAAGACCGAGCCGTCGTTCAGGCCAATTTGCAGCGCACGAAGTTCACAGGGACACCCTCTCGGTTTACCCATCTCTCGGGCAACAACTTCTCGTCGATGATACACCGGGTCTCGAAATAGAAGAGCAATGACTCCTCGAAAAGAACTTGACATTGTCTTGTTGGCCACCGGTGCTTCGGTGTGTCACGCAGAATTAAGGAAAACGCGTTCGTTAAAAGAGATTAAAAGAAAGAGGATTAAGGAAAGAGAGATAGAGAAAGGGAATTAGGATTTTCCTCGTAATCCGACTATTCGTTGAATCGCGAAAGGAAACTATTCCTTGGAGAACATAACGTTTCTTAGCAAACAGACAGGATAAATAACGACTTGGCACAATAGAAATCTCGAATTGCAACAGACTACGAATTACACGTTCGAACTATTTATTAGTTGTGATGACGATCACTTTGTATTTCAGGGAGTGGCGTAAGGTTTGCGAATGTTTTACCGGAAATTGGTTAAACCTGTGACGCGGCCCGACTAAAAACATTTTCTTTTAATATAACGAGATCTCCCTTCTTTCACCGACGTCTTTTGTATATATTTAACAAATTGGCTACCGGAGTGACGCTTTAAGATTAATTTCAACTTGATTCTACTAATCTGATCAAAAAAATATTTCCTACAAAAGTCGATCTCCACGTAGCTGGGGATAAATTGCAAAAATGCAAAATATCTAGGAAACTTTTTATTCGATAAAAGATCAAGGTAACCGTGATACTTTAAATTATACGTAATTCTTTTTATTGAAGTTGGCATCGAAACGAATTCAACGTTTCTCGAATAACTTGTTAAATCGTTTAAATAATCATCTATTATTAAAATGCAAAATTAAAGAAACAAAATAGAATCTTCAATAAACGTTTTGATAAAATTCCCTGCGACAGCCAAACGGATTTGAATAAAAAGCAGAAGAAATAACAAGTGTTTTCTCGTATTTCGCAGGCATGGAGCAGTTCGAGCAACTGCTAACGTGCGCGATATGTCTGGACCGGTACAGGAACCCGAAGCTTTTGCCATGCCAGCACAGCTTCTGCATGGAACCGTGCATGGATGGCCTCGTTGACTACGTGCGTCGACAAGTGAAATGTCCAGAATGTCGAGCGGAACATCGTATACCCTACCAGGTGAGCAATCAATTCTCCAAAGATTTAACAAAGTTAAAATTACGCGCGAATGTTGAGACTATTAACTTTCGAGACTTTCCTGCTACTTAAAAAGTTATTACTTCTTTAACCACGTTTTCGCGACCGACGTTGTCGACAGACCGCGGCTTCTATAATTCTCGCGCAAGTTCGCCAGAACAAAAGCAATTATAAGAGGTTACATCTTGGTCTCTTGCTCGTCCTAAACTCGAGAAAGCGAGAGAAAAACGGATATCGATTTCGCGAATTAGGATTCGTTTGCTTCGTTCTCTGAAACGGGCGGTTTGACGTCAGCAGTGAATCAAAAAGGAAACACAGAAGTAAGCTGGTCGGGACAAAGCAAGACTTTCGCGAAACACAGATGTACACGCGCAAAATTAAATATACCAGCGTACGAGGTTTTTGCTTTAACAATGTATAATGTGTGGCCTCATCTTTATTCAACGAAGCCACCGCGACGGCGTATCCCTCGCAAAATTGGATAAAGTTTCGCGTTTCATCTAACGCGTCTCGCCAACCATTTGTCTCAGTTTCTTTCCACCCTAAAGGTGGTAACCGACCGTTCGGCGTCAAACGTAACACAATTGTCCTTAATTAAAAGCGACGATGCGAGCGAACACGAACGACAAACGGGAATAAATGGGAACAGGAGAGAAAAAGAAAGAGAAAAAAAGAAGGGCAGAACGAAGGAATCCGGTCTAGAAACAGTTCTCGTATGAAATTCAATTTCAGGTAAAAGCCGTACTCCGAGATCAAAGTTATCCTTCTGTTTGGAATTTCTTTCGTTTCATTTCGAAGGAGAATCATGGTTATTCCATTAAGGGAGACCGCAGCGCGGTTTTAACTTGTCTCGTATTGTCGCCAGGGTGTACAGGCCTTCCCGACCAACGTGACCCTGCAAAGATTCTTGGAATTGCACATCGAGATCACTGGGGAGCTACCAGACCCGACCAGCGGTCAAACAATGGAACGTTGCGGCGTTTGTTCGGAGAAGAGCTACTGCTCCCTCTGCGTCCACTGTGAGAAAAAGTGCTGCCCTGAATGCAAGGACGCTCACATGGATATCCTCAGGCGTGAAATCACGCGCATCAATTCCCAGGTAAGCCGTAAGGGCCACGTGCTCACGTGGAAATTCTTTTAAGAATACGTCGCGCTACCACGGACCTTTCGCCGTAAAAAGAATCGCGTTACTTGCCTGTTTACTCCGTGGAAATCTATTTTTGGCCAAGATATTAACCTTACGGAGGACTGACGAGCAGACTGCCTCTACTTGGGTGCAAAAAAAAAAAAAGATCTCGTCGTAGAAACATCGACTCGCTAAGGCGAGAAAAACGATTTCACGCTCGGACACCATCCATCCCTTTATCTTCGCCCTTCGATTTCTACTAATTTGCTGATTCCGCTTCCCTGGCGATTAAAAACTCCCGGACATCAATGGAGATTGGAATGCAATAATGTGTTTGATGTTGATGAAGATTCAAAATAGATCGTACAGAGTAGATTCGCGATCGATTTCTGCTTCTCTTTCCTTCGCCTTTAGCCATTGTTTCCTTATCTTTGTCCTTCTATCTATTCTTGCCTCCTTTTATCCTTTCCCTCGTTCTCTTCTTCCTCCTTTCTTAATATTTTATCTCTCCCACTCACCTCGTCCTTCCTTACGTTCCCCACGTTCCCCTGTTTCTGTCGTTTCTTCCCTTCCTGCCCTATTTTCTTTTCTCTCTCTTTTCACATTCTATTCGCATTCACAGCCGAAATTCGGAAATTCAGGATCACCCCAGCCGATCAAACATCCACTCGGCATACGCGATTCGATTTTACCTAGTCGTTGGAAAAACGTGCCGAGTCATACGTTTTTCACCGCGTGACTTTCAGTCGCTTTTATATCGGTTAACGACGCGCACTGATTTCACCGGCGATTCCCATTTCCACCTGTTTCCTCTCCCATCTCAGCGAATTCGCAAAATTCCGTACGATAAATTGTTAGAAAAAGAATAAAGAGAGAGGGGCAACGAATGGAATTTGTAAGTTACAAGAGCTAAGTGAAATCATCATAATTATACGTATGAAATGGACGCGTTAACAACGTACCTGAGTGGGTGGTAACACGTTTTCCACGAATTCGCCGGCAACATTGCCCGGGGGATAATAAATGCAAACGAAGTAAAATTTGCCGCTGTCATCGTTGGCCAATCCGAGACCTATCGATTCCGTATTCTTCCAAATTAGTTGAGTGAAATGACGCACAGATTGCAAATCTTTTACATCGCACACACCATATTTGAAATAGTTACCCTCTGCGTACCTAAGGACCAATTAAAAATCCACTCGATTACTCGCTATTTCTTTCAAATGTGAATTCAATTGCCATAACGAATGTACGTTAATAGAAATTCAAGAAAATTAAACCTAGCGAAATTTTCGGCTCGAATGTAAAATTTCTATTTAACGTGCATAAACGTTCGTTAAATTATATTTTGAAAAATGATACGAAATTTTAATGGAATTTTTAGTTCAAGTTGTATTTTACATTTAAATTTAATCTATTAACTGGGTTGTCCTTTAAAAAACTCTAGAATCACGGTATTAAAAGTTATTATACATATTTATGATCTCTGGGAAATATGTATTTCTGCTAAATATCTTATTCAGATTGTTTTCGAATCTCACTAATATAATCATGAGCCTCGTTCTAAGAACTTTTCTATAATACACGTAAAATATCCGCAAAAAGTTTCTAGAAATGTTCGAACATCTTCGCGATACACCGTAAACTGATTGAATTATACAAGTTAAAATAGCAACTTTAAAATACCAACCACATTTCCAGCGGATCTTTCGGTTTAATCTCATAAGGGAAGTCCCTCCAGAAACTTCGGTATATGTTTTCGCCATAATCAGGATCCGATCTATACTCGAGAACGTCTTTTTTCGCTATTATGTCCGCCCATTCCTGCGCCCGCTCGTTCAACTTGAAAAGCATTTTCATTTCGTAAACGTAAAATCTCGCTGCAATGCCTTAAATTCTATTCTTGCCATCTTAAATTTCAACGTCATGGAAATTGACTAAGGATCGCGATGTTATCGCGTTAATAAAAATGTACAGCAGCAGTTCTTTGAGAAACGGCCGCGTTCAATATTTCATAGAACCTTGTAAACGAGCGCGCCGCGTGAAGAATATTTCCGGATGAAATAAGAGCAGATCCTTGTATACCTTATCATCGATTTCTAATGGAGAGGAACCGTGATTGGCGCGATATTCATTATGCAGCGTCAGGAAATCTGCCACGAAATTCAACGGGAAATTCCTGAAACAGAAAAAAAAAATCTAGGTTACTCCCTGTCCACGAGACACGACGTAACAAGCGTTTCAATCCGTTGCTTACTCCATTTTTAATTTAAACGCTTTCAATAGTCGGAGACATGTTGATTGATGTTTGCAAGCGGATATTTGAAAATATGGCAGGTGTGCTTGAAGGCATATCTTGTAGGTTTCAAGGATTTTTAGAAAGAATTACACGGCTACATGTTTCAAATCGACGATGACTTAGGTTATACGAGTCATGATGGATGAACAATCGCGAAGCAAATTCTCGCGCTCGTACATATTCGTTCGTAAATATCGGGGCGAATTTTAAATACAAACAACAATGTTCGAAACAAGAATAAGCTGATTTCACTATTTGCAAGATTACGTTTACGAGGTTATTCGAGGTCTCGGATCAGATAACGATTTTTAAAGATTTTGATGATAATTTTTGATGTTCCAGTAACCTTTCGTGTTTACTTAATTCCCCATAAATATTCTATCAACCGGAGTGTGCGTTCATGACACAACAAATTTAAACATTAAACATTGTTCGCGTAACAATAGTCGTTTCGACGAGGAGCACCGAAATCCTCCCCGACTTCTCGAACAACCCAGTGAAATTGCGGTTTCGGCGTGATTATGTCGAGTGAGGTGGTTTTGAAATTTTAGATAGACCCGGAAATATTGAAATGGAGTTGCGTACCAAGCAACTCGATTCGATCGGGATGAATACCGCGAATTCAGGTCAACATAACCGCGTACGTACAAATACGCGCTATGTATGTGCAATGCAAAAATAACCGGCCGGTATATTTACCCGCTCCTAATGTATTCAAAACAAACGCACTCTCCTCTGCGATGCGAATTCAGCGTCTAAGGGGAACGTGAGACAGAACGCACCCCATGTGACGGTCAGTGGAAAATCACGACAGTGAGAAATGGAGATGATTTCCATTGGACATCTACGCCATAGAGTTAGCTTCTCAAAAATCACCATATATATAATATATATGTATCATAATATAATATTTCAAATATTCCAAATATACGAATATCTCGATATTTCGTGATAAAGAGACGCAAGTTTCAAAATATTCCAAAATCCAGTCAAAAAGGAATAATTTTTCAAAGAAGCTAAACGCATGTGTATAATATCTCCAGCGTTTAATAACGCAAATATCATAAATATTAAAATCTATAATGCTAGAAATATTTTACCTGTTCGTTACGAGCGTCGATCGTACTCGATACACGCGTCCGCACGACCGAGCGACAACTAAAATCAACAATACGCTACGCAATAGCTGTGACTCGAGGCTGTCAATACGCTACGCGACGGTTGAACTTCGTATCGAGAAGGTTACCATTCCAAATATTTCAAACACTTTAATTACCCAAATCTACAGTGTGTCGAATATATACTATTCCAACTAATATAAAGTTCCAATTAATATACATAGTATTCCAAATATCTTAAATAGTCGGATCTATAATATTGGAAATAATATAATATCCACTAAATAATATAAGCACAAATACTCGCATTTTAAACACAGCTCCATCGTAAGCAGGGCTTTTCGAACATCCGAAAATCTCTGGAGAAGGAAATAATTTCTAGAAATTGAGAGCGCAAGATTTTGTCTTTTTCCGACGATTCCATCGATTCGATAAAAATTCTGTTTACAGATACGCAGGGGGCTGCACAGGTTGCAGGACGCGCTGGCTTTGGTAGAGAAAAACACATTGGGACTACAAACAAACTGTGCCTCGGTCGCGGAAGAGGTGGACGAGATTTATCGGAGGCTGAGCAAGGCTTTGAAAGACCGCACGGAACATCTGCGTAACGAGGTCGATCGATACCTGGGCACAGAGCTCAGAGGCTTGATTCAGCTCAAAGAGAATCTGGAATTGGAAATCGCGAATATCCAGAGCAACTGCGATTTGGCGGAGGCTCACATCAATGAAAACGTGCCATGGGACGATTCCGAACTCCTCGATACAAAAGAGCTTTTCCTGCGTACGGTGGAATTCATCAGGTTCGTCTCATCGCCTTTAATCTAATTTCCTTTCTTCTCTTTTTCTTTCTCCTTTGCCACAGACCTCTCTCGAGACCCATACAATTAAAAAATATCGTAGAATCAACCACTAGTTTCCTTCCTGCTAATATCGATCTTCATATTTTCTTGCAGAAATTTCGATTCCTTTGGCCTCCTCCCTAAACCGAAGATATTTAATCTCCCGTATTTTCTTAACGAGCCACCCTTGAACCAAATGGAAGCCCTTATGGCTTGTATTACGAAAAGGAAATTCCTCGCAATGTCTGTTTAGTTGTAAAAGCATGCGCCGGATTTATGGAACACGTAGTACGCCTCACGGAAATTCAGATTAAAATTCGTTGAATCAAAGAAGCGGAGTTTCCTTTAAGGGTACTCGCAACCAACGGGACTGGAATGCAATATAATTAAGTACAGAGAACTAACGAAACACGAATTTAGTTCGAATCGCGTCACGGTTGCGTTTTAATTGTATTTCATCGGTGTACAAGTGACACGAGGGAAGTGACATTAAAGGGAATCGAACGACGGGAATATTTTGGATTTTACAGGACCAGGATCTTTGGAATTCGTTTCCTATCGTTTATAAGCGTCGTTAGAATCTAGAAACGACCTGGATCCCATGAAAATTCATTGTGGACTCTGCGGAGAATAACGATCCCCTTGAAATATAAAGTACCTTAAATTTGATCCACGAAAAGGCAATCTGCTAGACGCGTATTTCGTTTTTCGTGCTTTATCGAGCGTCAAGTTTATCGTCAAACCAGGCCACGATCCCTTAAATTACGACTACCACGTTTCTCGTTTTCTTCCATCGCGAAAAGTTCGCGCTGTATCATTTCGCTCAACGTTCAATTAAGAAGCAACAAATTTTACGCCGAGCCGTGCGTTTTGTAGATAACCGGTACGTTTGACGCACGATGCCTGCAGCCACGTACACGCGTTCCTCTGCCATAAATTTTCACGAAATAAAACCTATGGCTACATACGTGGTCCGTGAAACATAATTCAGACAATGAAATGATAAATCATCCTTTTTTTTCTTTTTTTTTTTTTTTATCTGCTTTTCCACCTCTTAATTTTTCTTCATTCAGTGTTTAATCTGCAGCGCGCGTGTTTGACATTTTCACGCGATATACGGCAATTTTTTAACTCGCCAGCTGCGAAATCGTGAATGGCCAAGTATTTATTAGTTTGCCGGTGGATGTAGCGAGTAGAGGAAGCTAACGTAGAGAATATGAAGTGAAATGCAACGTAGAAAGTAGCTGAACTCTTTGAAGACTCTATACATTAAAAATAACCTTTTAACGTTTCACTGCGTAACAAAATTCGTTCCATTTGAAGATTACAGGGGGAAATATGAAAATATCACGAGCAAGAGGATACACGTATTTTAATATGACGTAGTCAAAAAGAGGAACCATTTGCATTCGATTCAAACGTATTGTCGTCTAGCAATAGATGACAAACGTGTCAAGTTTCGTGAAAAAAAGAAATAACGACGCGCCTAATATCTAAAATATGAAATCGATATTTTCGACGTAAATATATTTCAAGAGAACTCGACAACAACATTTGGTAAAAAAGCGCGTTCGCGTACGAAGAACGAGAAATGTGATTCAGATATTTCCTTGCATTTTTAACGTGTTCGTTTTTACAAGACAATTTACAAATTTACTGTAAACAATGAAATATCACGACGCGGATCACCGATAGAACGTAATTAATCATCCAATTTAATCAGCTGGTTTCTTTCGAGAGTATTATTCTCCAAGGAGAATATTCCTGTACTAGTCAGACACCGCGGTCGAAAAATAATGAAAGTTGCGTTGTAATTTTATGGAAAGCACGTGGCACGTTTGTACGCCTCCTTTTTTTCCAAATTGCTTCTCCGATATTCCATGAAACTTTTTCCACGGCGAAACATGGACATGCACCTGAAACAAGATGCACAACGGCTCCAGATAACTTTTACACTCGATCTTCCGCGGCGCATAATGTAAATGGAACCTTTCATCTTCCGAACTTGTCGAAATTCTGCTTACCCTTCCACTTCGTACGCGACACGGCAGCATACTAACCACCTTTTAGTTTCAAACAGTGTTCCCTGTTTTCGCCCGTTGCGGTTATTATTCTCGCGGAGAAAAGATTACCGAATAGGAGGGACGAGAGACGCGCGTAAGAAACTCCGCGAAATATTTAAAAGCTCTCCTTGATACCGTGATAAGTATGAGCCGAACAAGGGCACAAACAAGAGATCAGCCTTTTCGTATAAAATGCAAAGGCTGGGAAAGTTCGAGACACTCTCAGAACTTTAACACTTTCCGTTAATTCTGTTAACTTCTCAGGTAACGAAATAGTTGAACAAACAAGTTTATTTATAGCGAAAAGATGGCGTAAATAATTACTTTCTAACTTAATAATTAATTTAACCGTGTTATAGTCTTCGGATTTCTCTGTTCCAATTTTATTCTTGCCTTTAATAATATAAGAAAAGAAGAAGCATAGAATTGAAAGGAGAAATCGTGCGCGTCGAGGGTAGTTTTCTCGTATTTTCCCGGAATATCGGAAATTTATTGAAAACGGAAAGTCAGAAAACGGATTGCGATGGAAAATACTTGGAATAAACGCTGCAGAATTAAACTAAATTCGTATTTCATTAATTTTCTAAATTTAACCACGACGCTACGATAAACCTATTTCGAAAGGAGTCAGATTTATCGTTTTAATTAAAACGTGTCAAGGGACGTAGAAAATATTTCAAAAACGCAAAGGAGTTAAGCTAAATTTATGTTTTATCATTTCTCCAAATTTAACCATATTATCAACTTCCTCGAAAGGGATAAGAGATTTGAAAATACAAAAGCCACTCCCTAAAACGTACTATGTCCCTGAGATATAAAAATCCTATTTGTCTTTCCCCAGGAACAAATATTCAACTTCCGCGAGAATTAACTAACCGTCTAACAAAAATTTGCTTGGCAGCGGATCGGTGCTCACGCCAAGTCGAAAAGAATTCCTGAAAGTTGCCCTCGTTAAACGAAACTTTTTACTAAATCCCGGGAACCTGTAGCTGACTCCTAATAATGTAACTCGGCAAGAAAGGCAAAAATTTCGTTACAGCCCGGACTAATTTACGATCCTGGTTGCAGGAACTTCGAGTACGAAGCCGGGGATTACAGTCGGCGAGTGCGTTTTGTAATGGCGCACGATCCGAACCAACTGGTCCTCCATGTAGCCGGTTACGGCGAACTGAATATCAAGCCAGAAACCGGAAGCGGAGGATTGCTGGGTAGCTCGAGCAGTCTAGCACCTCCCGGAGGATCACCGGGTCTCATGAGAAGCAAAAGCGACCATCGTCTGGCTTCGCAATACCGGCAGCAAGAGGAAGAGCGACTGGCGAGAAATCGATACGTACCCGAATACGAGTAATTATCCCTTCTACTTTTTCCTCCAACGTTTATTTATCGTTCGTTCATCTTTCCGTGGCAAAAAATTCGACTATCTGCTAACTAATAGGCCGGCCGTAAAACGGTTCACCTTCTTTGCATAATGGTGTTCGATTTTTCTAAATAGAGAACCATACACCGGCGAGAAAAGTGATGCTTTTTTCGCCAGCGTATCTCTTATCCTTATTCTTCTTTTTCCTGTCACGATGCTCGGGCTAGAAAAAAAAACATAGAAGAAATAAACCGAGGGAGATAGATAGGATTTGTGCGAATATTCTTAGAGATCAAGGGGAAATGTATTGCGCAGGTTATGGTTGCTTCGCGCGTTAGAATACGAGTCGGATCTACTGTTTATAAAGTAGTTGGCGATACGTTTTGCAACCGAAGTGGTAACGTTTATCTCGTCAAGACAGGGGAAACTTGACTTGGGAATGCGTGGCAAATGATTTTACAACGATCTTCGAGTGTTTCGAAGGGAACAATGCGGCACATTGTGCAGCAAAGAAGTATCTTTGAATGGAGAAACTGTGTCCGCCAGTCCGACGAAAGGACGTATCTCTCCGAGAAAATGACGACGGCAAGAGAAAAAGAGACATTTCGTTGGTAACTAGCTGACCGGTAAAAACGTGTTTGACCGTGGACGCAGATTACTTTGGAGTATTGCCAAACGGCATCCGTGGTGGGCATACATTTTTCAGGATGTCCCACATATCTATTCTAGCAAATGTTATAAATACACGAGGCTCCACTGGCTGTATCTTTTTCCTGGCGTGGGCCGGGCAACAACTTCCTCGAAGCCGAAATAGGCATGGTCGAGTTTAATTACCGGTCGTTTCGTGTAATACGCACACCGGCCGGTCTAATAACCCACCTAGTCAAGATGTAAATAAAAAATCCTCTTGATATATAGAAACTCGCGAAGGTGAGTAGGAGACTTTTACGAGTACATTATTTGTGTTATTCGCAGCATTTTGAAATTTTGTTAGCACCGCAACGGTATCCGACAGTTGGGATCACGTCGGTGAAGTTGGAAATAAATTTGAAAATGTATATAGAAGTTACAAGATATTTAGCGCAAGAATATAATTGGCCAACATGAGAAAAATATTTTAACAGTCCAGTTATCCATCGTAGTGATAAGTCCCGATATTCAGCGAGACAATCCCTGTCTAATTTTTGTATAAACATACATTTGTAGTGGACATCTTGTAACTTTCACACGTATTCAAATCGGTTTCAAACTTTGTCGACATAATCACGACAGTCGTGTCTGACTACAATCAGTGACAATTAAATATCAAAATGTTTTTTATAACATGTAGTATATGCGACTGTTGGGATCACGTCGGTGAAGTTGGAAATAAATTTGAAAATGTATATAGAAGTTACAAGATATTTAGCGCAAGAATATAATTGGCCAACATGAGAAAAATATTTTAACAGTCCAGTTATCCATCGTAGTGATAAGTCCCGATATTCAGCGAGACAATCCCTGTCTAATTTTTGTATAAACATACATTTGTAGTGGACATCTTGTAACTTTCACACGTATTCAAATCGGTTTCAAACTTTGTCGACATAATCACGACAGTCGTGTCTGACTACAATCAGTGACAATTAAATATCAAAATGTTTTTTATAACATGTAGTATATGCGACTGTTGGGATCACGTCGGTGAAGTTGGAAATAAATTTGAAAATGTATATAGAAGTTACAAGATATTTAGCGCAAGAATATAATTCGCCAACATGAGAAAAATATTTTAACAGTCCAGTTATCCATCGTAGTGATAAGTCCCGATATTCAGCGGGACCATCTCTGACTAATTTTTTAATAAACATACAATTGCAGTGGACATCTTGTAACTTTCACACGTATTCAAATCGGTTTCAAACTTTGTCGATATAATCACGACAGTCGTGTCTGACTACAGTCAGTGACAATTAAATATCAAAATGTTTTTTATAACATGTAGTATATGCGACTGTTGGGATCACGTCGGTGAAGTTGGAAATAAATTTGAAAATGTATATAGAAGTTACAAGATATTTAGCGCAAGAATATAATTCGCCAACATGAGAAAAATATTTTAACAGTCCAGTTATCCACCGTAGTGATAAGACTCGATATTCAGCGGGACCATCTCTGACTAATTTTTTAATAAACATACAATTGCAGTGGACATCTTGTAACTTTCACACGTATTCAAATCGGTTTCAAACTTTGTCGATATAATCACGACAGTCGTGTCTGACTACAGTCAGTGACAATTAAATATCAAAATGTTTTATATAACATGTAGTATATGTACGTAAAAGTTTTCTATGCTAAATGTGCATATAACAATTAATTAACGGAAACGTGCAAGCTACGAACGCTATAGCGTACCGTGTCCTCGATACGACTGCAAGAAACTGCAATTAACGACGTTCTCGTTGCATGTCTATTGTCGCTAATTCGGTAGTTTTCTGACTGATAATCGAGGGTAGTTATATGAAGCTGTAGCATGCAAATTCGTCAGCCTGGTTCGTGCACCGAAATTTATTACAGCGACTAGTCGGCATTTATTTGTTTTACAAGCTAGCTCGGAGAACGACTGAATTTTACTCGCGCTCGAAGGGACTTTACGCAGTCTACAAGCATCGACGATTTAAAGTTACAATTTCAATACAGAGATTTGAATAATAGTAGTTGAATATTTGATATTCGATGTTGTATTTCACAGTAGCGTGAGAGTAACTGGAAATTACTTTTATCGGTTGTCAACGTTCCCATCAAGGCAAAATTGTACAAACGTTTCGAGAAAACGCGTTTCCAACTGACAATAGACATATCAGTTGCTCGCGGAACAGAAATATTTCATATTAGGGTCCTCTTACACGATAATTTACCAACTAATGATACGATGAATCGACAAAAGTTACGAGTTATTGGCCATAAACTGTTCTTTTCTAATTTTAGAATTTTACATCGAACAGAATAACGAATGGTAATTTGTGAAATTGTAAAAACAATTTTATCATCGTGTACTGTATAACTTCATTTGTTTTATCACCAGGCTCGTTATTTATAACTTGCGATTTGTAACTTGTGAAACTCTATTAATAACATCAATTCGATTACGCGAGAGAGCTCCGAAACGAACGAATCTATTTAAATAAACGTTGAATAAAATTTGCTAAAGTCGAATTTCAAGTTCGATATTGTTTAATTTCCCGTCCAAAAGCCTTCATAAATAGAAATTAATATCTCGCGTTTCGAACGTGCAAGAGATTGCGCCACATGAACAAGGCGCAGCACATTTGAACGAGATCAATTATCAACACCGTACACGATCGTTCTCCTTGCTGATCTTCTCTCATTATACGAAGCCATCCCTGTGTCTGCGAAGCGATAATTAAGCAACACTTGGATAAACCCGATGAATCTATTACTGTGCACTGCCTTGAAAAGCAGATAACCCAGTTCCAGAAAATCGCGAGCAAGGAAATGTAGCGTTTTCATCCGTGCCTCGAATTCCATTCGAAGAAATTAATCGTTAAAAGTGAATATCGTTGTCCCTGCAACTAGTGAAACGAAAGATGAATTATAGCGGAAAGAGGAACAGAGTCGCGTTAAATTTTAATCTCATCCTCCTGTTTTTACGTCCATCCTTGTGCTTCTTTTTTTTTTCGCCGCTTCGATTTCGATGGGATCGTTAAAGCGTGCACTTAGAAAATTGCTATTCGTTAGTTGTGCGACGTATCTGCGACACGTGTCACTGGAAATTGCTAGGACAGACAATGGCCGATCACAATGCAGAGACGCTTTATTGTCAGATGATCTTAGTTCGATTAGAGTGGACGTTCCAGCGGAATTGTTCATGACAGGCCGAATAGTATTGGGATATCTCCATCTTCTTCCATCGTCTTGTCCCTAATTCGTGGAATTCATTTCAAACATTGGAAATCAAATTTTCAATATCGTCCATGTAGAATCTTTCAAATTTAATATTCGAAGGAATTCAGTGAAGTTTAGCTAACGAAATTAATTCCATATATCGTATTACGTTTTGTAGTATTAACTGTCTAGCATTTTCTTCCGCTGTCTTGCTCCAAATTTGTAGAATTAATTCGAGAAATTAGAATTAGAATTTTTAATATCGTCCGCCTAGAATCTTCCAGATCTAACGTTCGAAAATACCAACGAAGAAATCTTCCATTCTCTTGGACCTAATTTATAAAATTAATCCAAGACGTGAAAATCGAAATTTGTAATATCATTCGTCTAGAATTTTTGAAATCTAATATTCGCAAACACCGACGAGGAAATAATAGAATTATTGTTGCGACAGGTACGATGCACCAGAATACGAAGTGCCGAGGAACAAATCGAGATACAGAAGTCGATTTATGCGACACCGGGACGGGGACGATTCGGATGGCGACTCGAGGTCGACCGTGAGGTTTACGTCGACGCCACAGGAGCCCTCGGGACTTCGTGAACGTGTCCTGGACACAGAAGACGCGGCACGCGGGCCACTTTCCGGGATTTTTCGACTCACAGACTCGCCGCGTATTATGAAGAAGCTTCAAGAATACGAGAGAGCCGGAAAAAGAAAGAAGGAGGAACCGGTGTCACATCCTGCTCAACAACCTCAACCACCAAAACCTCAGGTTAATGAATAGCAATTTCACCCCTTTAATTCCGACCACGGTTATTTCAACGCTACGAAACTCTTCCACGAGTTACTTCAATAAAATACTCAGTACCTTTTTTGTCTCGCTTGTTTTCGATAGAAAGAAAAACTATGCAGGGAATTTAGCTTGTAACTACAGTATATCGTACGCGAATCGTTGAATTTAATTCGAAAAAGCGAACCACTGTTTAGCCGATGCCGTTCAGTTTGTGCAGTTTTAACGGTGGTTATCGATTTCCTGGTCGACTCCCACCTCTCGTAATATTCTCAACGTTCCCGTAGCTTTCTCGACTAAAGAAAACAACAGCCGGCGCCAAATGAAATTATCGTGTTTACAATTATACCACTGAGATCGTATATTTCGAACGATCAATTCTATTCGATCACGACAACGTAAAGCATATATCTGCCTGATCAATAGTCGAGATCTTCGTCTTCTCGAACAACGAAAACTATCGTTACGATACATGTGAAAACCATTTCTAAATTAAATCGTTGACTCGATTGAATTTCTCAGTTCGTCCAATTCGTACGATCGTATTTAGTTTGGACAGTGACGCCACAGTATAGAATTTTCACACGGATTCCCATATTATGACAGGCGATATACGCGAATGGATCGTAAGAGACGGTTCGATGGGCAAGCTCGGCGAAAGTAGCTTCGAAATCCCGCGTTATATCGCTTGGATGCGATTCAACGGGAACTAAATTTTTGATCGTTCGATCTATATGTGTATAGTGCCGATACACACGACTCGCAGGAAAACGTATCGCTGTCTCTATGGACACGAAAAGGGAATAAATCTTGAATTTAAAGTAATTGAATATTTCACGCCGGAAAACAGAAGCGTGCCGCAATATGAAATGTATACTTGATCTCGATTCATAAATATGTAAATAATACGAGACACGAGTGAATAAATTTAGTTTGTAGTTGGCCGTTGTATATTTTTGTACGAAATTCTATTATAATACAAATGAAACATATGAATACACGAATATATTTTGCTCATCAAGAAAAAAGGTTAATCTGTTTCTCTCGTGTCCACTATGCGACAAATCCTCTCTCTTTGTCCCATTACCACACATCAATCAAGGTTAGCATTTTAATGCATCGCCCACGCGTGTGACGAATCACACGGTCAACGTAAAAAGATCTCGACTTGTCCGTAAGCACCTAATCACCAACGAGTAATTTATCCTCAGACTTGGCTCATACAGGAAAACAGGAGAAAGGAATAATGGAATGTTTAAAAAATTTGTTAAAACAATGGAATATGAGAAAAGATGTTAAGCCATTTAGCAGGAAATTTCCACCAAGTTATCGTAATGTACTCGTTAAATATATTCTTTTTATCGCGTAGGTCCAAGTCAGAAAAGTGCCGACAGCGATGGCGAGACAAACCAGCGAGGATGACGAGATTTCTAGGATTAAAAAGCAGAACAAAACGGCGGCCACACCTGCGACTGAAACGCTGGAAGAACGACAACCAGTATCCACACCTACACCTGTTCATCCACCTCCAAGGGAACAGTCTGAACGAGAACCGGAGGAACCTGCACGAAGACCGATGCCCGCGAGGTTCGTATTTAAAATTATGCTTCGTTTTGGCTAAAGTAATCCCTGCACCTGTCCGATTTGTTAATACAATAAGCTCGCTGAGACAATTCAGATACCTGTGATTGATAGTAAAATATACAACTCGATCGAATTCGCCCATAACATTAAGTCACCAGGATCTCGGTCTGCGCGCGTTCCAGTAGTAGAGGCGCGTATCTAGTCGGACAGGCTGATTTATGCCCACCCGATAGAAACCAATCGGTTCGATGGAATATTCCAAGTTCCAGAGGCGGTTTCTACTCAATCTCATAACGTAGTATTACCCTGTAATTGGTGAATTATGTGTGTGTGTGAGACAGTATTAATGAGACACTTTTATTCCGGAAACCATTATTCTTCTTATCACTTTACTTTGTACGAAATGTGATAACTGAAGAACCATTTAAAACGACGATAAATAATTTCGATATTTAGAACGTAATTTGATAGCGTTCATTTCTGAAGGTTCAAGTAGCAAATTAGAATCTCCTTTCTTGATTTTCGTTTTTTCTCAAATATTGATCTTTTTTAACTCTTGAATTATACTTTGCTTGCCCAGCATGCCTCGCAGTTTAAACTGACGAACGAAAGGTCAGCGTAATATATTCTTGAAAATGCTTCTAAAATAAAAAAGATTCCTATCGACATGGCGAAAGTAATTTTGAATTAACGAACGTAGGAAGAGATGAGAAAATGATTGAAAATGAATGGCGGCAGTGCCGGTCAATAGAATCCCGAATTGAACAATTCCGCACCTATGATCCGCTGTTGATCGTTTATGCAGCAGTTTATACCGTGATCTGGAATAGGATTTTGGAATACACGCAACCACAGAATGGATGAATCGTAGGCGGATGATTGCGTTATACGAGATCGAACAAAGAGAGCTGCGATGTAAACTAATGTCATCGGTACAAATTACGTACGAATGCTCGCTACTCTATCGAGTTTACTGACTACAGGAAGTCGTTAATTGAAATATCGTTGCTCGTAGGAGAACTTCCACGGATACCCACACTCCTGCGACGAGAAGCGCTTCATCAGACTCGAGCACGGGCTCCGAGAGCTCAGGAGGATCAGGAATCCGCAGCACGGGTGCACCATTCACCGCCGAGGAAATGAAGCAGAAATACTTGTCGAGAGCACCGACGTCGAACGCAACATCTACGATCTCGTCGCCGCACAGCGGCACACCACCGACTGCCAAAGACACCGCCAACGCCTCTCCCACTTCGCGATCCTTTCAGAGCCGTTTTTTAGGCGCAGGTAAGTTTCTACTTTAACGGCCATACCGTTACGCGAATCAACGCGAAACGCGTCTAAATTGGACATCGATCCTTCTTCTAACTCTAATGTCAATACCTTTCTGTGTGTTCTCGTTTAAAATTATTTATCTTCCCGGCAAGTGATTTCCGACTTCAAGTAGATCGTGTATATTTGAACGCTACAGGGGACGAGCGAGATAAATTAAACTGACAGTCTGGTTACGAGGAAACAATTTTAAAATTCGATAGAGATAGAAGAGCAATATTATATTTTATATTCTTGAGCGTATGCAAAGATATTTGCAAAAGGTATTTGCGCATATCTTTATCTCTCAACGAAACGTCGATTTTATCAGATGCTACGCGTTTCATTTTCGTATGAAAGCGCTGCTAGGAGATACGAACTTTCATATACTTGGGTTTAATTAATTATAAATGTAATGCTCACTCGCAAATTTGATAATATCAGAAATTCATTCGTGATAACTCCATCGTCGTCGATCAACGGCCATCATCATCGGGCAACGTCGAAAATTTCCGGTATCGACGTAAGGATTACCGTGAAATATCCTAGAACCGGTTATTTCGCAGATGAACGTTTAACGACCCAAATCTTAAGGTCATTATGATTATACCACGGACGCCATTAACGAATCCACGTCCGATCCAAACGACGTTTCTCGAAAACGTAATTTCGCCTGGAAAGCGAAACGCGGAAGACCGTTTGATATTTATTTGAACGTGTACCGGATTTTCACATATCTCTGTAGGTAACCGTGCAGCCCCGCCGCCACCCACGCAACCACCCCCAGCGGCGCGAGAGGAAACGGCCATAAAGAAGAAGGAGGAAGAAGAGGAGGACGACGAGGAAACTAGTAGTTCCTCGGAGGAGACGGAATCCGAGACCGAGGAGGAATCGGAAACCGATGCACATCCGTCGGGCACGACGACCTCGACAACACCCTCGACCACTGCACAGGATCGTCAGAGAAGCGAATCCGCGATGGCGAGGACAGATATCGGGCCTCTGCTCGCTCGAAGCGCAGAAGCTAGACGAGGTAGCAAGGAAGACTCTCCTACGACCAGGCAAGTATATTTTCTGCCGAAAATTCTAATTCGAGGGTTTCTTGTTTCTATTAACAAGTAACATCGTGCGAGAATCCATCGATCGACGTGTATACGTACGTGGCGAGCATATAAATAGAGAAAGATAGACATAAATTCAATTTGTAATTATCCTTTGGAATTAAAAATTCGAAGATCGTGTTTGAAGGCGCAGTAGAACCTTGATTATTCAAACTAATCTCACGTTGTTTAAGCAAACGAATAACGCTATTTTCGTATAGGAGAAACTCGTTTATTTTCAACTATTTTCACAAACGTTAACATCAAACGAGAGCAGAAAGTTTCGAATAAAAATGTAGCGATTTATTTCGTGTTTGCTTTTGTTATTCAAGGGACCATTCTCAGACGTTCCAATTTGTTCATTGCTTCGTTGGTCGATGCTCCGATAATTAAGATTCTACTGAACGAAAAATATATTTCCAATGCCTACGTTATAGAGGAAGAATGATAATGAAACAGTTTATGATACAGTTAATCGAATCTACGAGTACGAATCTTTATTTAAATTAAACGATCTCGTAAATTAAACGAGAAGCTCTAACAGGGTGATTTTTTGCGTCCATCGCGGGATCAAATTTTGCAAAAAGCAATGCAAACGAGGGGTTCACCGCGTGTATCCGGGGATCAATTTATATCTTTCGACTTGTTTCTCTATCTTAATAAATAACGACGGTGATGCGACTTAATTTGAAAGAGTGAAAAATCAATAAATAGCGTGAACGAACGGTGTACCAAGAGTTTTATCGTAGCAAACGACGTCGATAGGAGAATCGATCGTAACTTCGAACTGTTTAACAATAATCTTTCGGACGATATCCCGCGACGAACTCTCGAGCCGTAAAGCTTCGAGAATCGGTCAGAAATTGCTAGCGATGTTTAAACGATGATGTACACGTAGAGAATACCATCGTAAAGTCGGTTAGAGATCGGTACAAGGAGATTGACGAAACGTACTGATAATTCGGGGAAACGCGCGGTGACAAGCGTTAAAGGAAAATTGAACTAGAATATCGAGCGATGTCAACTCGTGTCTCAGGTATTCGTCGCCGAGAGGAAGTCCCGCGCATTCGGTGACGAGCCCGACAACTACGACGACCACGACGCCGACGGGCGGCGCCGCGACA